TTGGCGGCGACGACGACGACGCGTCCTGGCGGCGCGCCGACGCCGCCCAGCACCTTTTGCAAGAGGGAGTGGGTGAGGGAGTAGAGGAAGGAGGGGGGAGGGATGAGGGAGGGCGCCTCCGCCCTGGAGCCCAGGTGAGTACCTCGTCGTCGTCGTCGTCGTCGTCGTCGTCGTCGTCGTCGTCGTCGTCGTCGTCGTCGAGGGACCCGGGGGGCGGTCCCGAAAGACCGGGGGTTCCCGAGAGACTGGGGGGGTCCCGGGACTGGGGGGGTCGCATGGGTCCCACAGGGGGGCCCGGGCGGGCGGCGTCTCCGAGGGGCCGTCGTCGTCCGAATGTCGATCGTCGTCGTCGATCGTCGTCGTGGATTGTCGTCGTTGTCGTCGATCGTCGATCGTCGTTCGACCCTTTGCAGGGGTTGCAGGGGCCGGGTAGGTCCCAGGACCAGTGGTCCCGGGACCCTGGCGTCCCGGGAGATCCCGGGACCCGCGGGGGTTCTGGGACCGGTCCTGGGACCCGGCGGAGTCCTGGCACCCGGGAGGTCCCCGGACCCCGGGGGGGTTTGGGGCGACCTGGGGGGTCCCGGGACCCGGTCCTGGACCCGGGAGGTCCCGGGACCCGGGAGGTCCCGGGGCCCGGGTGGGTGTCGGGACCTGGGGGGTCCCGGGGCCGCGGGGATCCCGGGATCCGGGGGGGCCCCGGGACCCCGGTGGGTCCCAGGACCCAGTGGGGTCCCGAGACACGGGGGTCCCGGGACGCGGAGGGGTTTTGGGACCTGGGGCGTCCCAGGATTTGGGGGTTCCGGAGGGGGGTCCCTGGAGGGGTCTAAGGGGTCCCGTGGCCCGGGAGGTCCTGGGATCTGGAGAGGTTCCGGGACCCGGGAGGGTCCCGGGACTGGGTCCCGGGACCGGGGGGTCCCAGAACCCAGGGGTCCGGGAACCTGGGTGGTCCGGGGATCCCGGGGCCTGGCACCCAGGGGGTCCGGGGAATGGGCCCAGGGTCCCGGGACCCAGGGGCCGAGGAAGTCCCGGGAGCCGCCGGGGTCTGGGGACCCGGGGCGTTCTGGGACCCAGGGGGGTCCCAGGACCCGGGGAGTCCCGGGACCGGGAGGGTCCCGAGGGGTCGGGTCCCGGGACCCGGCGAGGTCCCGGGACGCGGCGAGGTTCTGAGACCCGGGGGTCGTCTGGGACCCGGGGGGGTCCCTGACCTGGGGGGTCCTGGGACTGGGGGGGTCCCAGGATCAGCGGGATTTCGGGACCCGGGAAGTTTCGGGACTCGGGGGGTCTGGGGACCCTGGGTTCCCGCGAGTCGGGAAACCCTATAGGGGACCTGGGGAGGTTCCGCGAGCCCGGGGTGGTCAGTCCAGGGGGGGTCCGGAGGGAGAAATTCTAATATTAGTTATTTTGCGGTTTTTGGGGTTCCGAGACCTCCTCCGCGAATTGCGCGCGCGGTCGCGCAAACGGACGAGGAAACGGCATTGGCGACGGGGTCTTTGGGAGTTTTTTCGTTGTTGCTCCGACCCCTCCGCGAAATACGCGTGCGGTGGCGCAAAGGGACGCGCTTGATTTTAATATCTGTCCATTCTAGATCTTGAATTGGTCCGCTTGAGATCGTGAATGGGTCCGTTTTGGAATCCCGAATCAGTCCGTTCTAGATCGTGAATCGGGCCGTTTTTGGAATCCTGAATCTGCTGTTCCGGACTAGATCGCGATATTGCCCGACCGCCCCCGAGATGGGAGAGATTGGACCGATTCACGATTCAAAATGGACCGATTCGCGATTCAGAACGGACCGATTCGGGATTCCAAAACGGACCGATTCACGATCCGTAGTGGATTGCGAATCCATTCTGGATCGCGATCTAGTCACTTAGATCGCGATCTAGTTCATTCTTAGAGCCGATACCCAGGCTTCGAGCTGCGACATTGTCGCCAGTTTCGAGGGCTGCTGGTGGGTCCAGCGGAGTGAGGCACCGCGCAGACCTGAGCGGGACCTCGCCGTCCCTTGGGGGGCTGCGCTCTGGGACATTGTCGCCAATTTCGAGGGCTGCTGGTGGGTCCAGCGGAGTGGGGCACCGCGCAGACCTGAGCGGGACCTCGCCGTCCCTGAGGGGCTGCGATCTGCGACCCTGGGGGGCTGCGATCTGCGACACTGTCGCCGCTTTCGAGGGCTGCTGGTGGGTCCAGCGGAGTGAGGCACCGCGCAGACCTGAATGGGACCTCGCCGTCCCTTGGGGGTCTGCGATTTGCGACGCTGTCGCCACTTTCGAGGGCTGCTGGTGGGCCCAGCGGAGTGAGGCACCGCGCAGACTTGAGCGGGACCTCGCCGTCCCTGGGGGTTGCTCTCTGCGACGTTGTCGCCATTTTCGGGGGCTGCTGGTGGGCCCAGCGGAGTGAGGCACTGCGCAGACCTGAGCGGGGCCTCGCCGTCCCTGGGGGGCTGCGATCTGAGACACTGTCGCCGCTTTCGAGGGCTGCTGGTGGGTCCAGCGGAGTGAGGCACCGCGCAGACCTGAATGGGACCTCGCCGTCCCTTGGGGGTCTGCGATTTGCGACGCTGTCGCCACTTTCGAGGGCTGCTGGTGGGTCCAGCGGAGTGAGGCACCGCGCAGACCTGAGCGGGACCTCGCCGTCCTTGGGGGGCTGCGATCTGCGACGCTGTCGCCGCGTTCGGTGGCTGCTGGTGTGTCCAGCGGAGTGAGGCACCGCGCAGACCTGAGCGAGACCTCGCCGTCCCTTGGGGGGCTGCGCTCTGGGACATTGTCGCCACGTTCGAGGGCTGCTGGTGGGTCCAGCGGAGTGAGGCATCGCGCAGACCTGAGCGAGACCTCGCCTTCAATGGGGGCTGCGATCTGCGAAAGAGTCGACGGGACCTTGCCGTCCCTGGGGGGTTGCGCTCTGCGACATTGTCGCCGCTTTCGAGGGCTGCTGGGGGGGACAGCATAGTGGGTAGCCGCCGCAGACCCAACGTAGACCTCGCCATCCCTGGGGGGCTGCGATTTGCGAAACTGTCGCCATTTTCGAGGGCTGCTGGGGGGGACATCATGGTGGGTAGCCGCTAGACCTCACCATCCCTGGGGGGCTGCGATTTGAGAGACTGTCGCCACTTTCGAGGGCCGCCGGGGGGGACAGCATAGTGGGTAGCCGCCGCATATTCAAATTAGATCTCGCCATCACTTGTTGGCTGCAACTTGCGAAACTGTCGCCACTTTCGAGGGCTGCTGGGGGGGCAGCATAGTGGGTAGCCGCCGCAGGCCCAAAGTAGACCTCGCCATCCCTGGGGGGCTGCGAGTTGCGAAACTGTCGCCACTTTCGAGGGCTGCTGGGGGGGACAGCATAGTGGGTAGCCGCCGCAGACCCAATGTAGACCTCGTCATTCTTGGGGGGCTGCGATTTGCGAGACAGTCGCCACTTTCGAGGGCCGCTGGTGGGGGGGGCAGCAAAGTGGGTAGTCGCCGCAGACCCGAAGAAGACCTCGCCATCCCTGGGGGGCTGCGATTTGCGAAGCTGTCGCCTCTGTCGAGGGCCGCTGGGGGGGGGGACAGCATAGTGTGTAGCCGCCGCAGATCCAAAGTAGACCTCGCCATCCCTGGGGGCTGCGATTTGCGAAACTGTCGCCATTTTCGAGAGTTGCTGGGGGGACAGCATAGTGGGTAGCCGCCGCACACCCAAAGTAGACGTCGCCATCCCTGGGGGGCTGCGATTTGAGAGACTGTCGCCACTTTCGAGGGCCGCTGGGGGCGACAGCATAGTGGGTAGCCGCCGCATGTTCAAATTTGACCTCGCCATCACTTGTTGGCTGCAACTTGCGAAACTGTCGCCACTTTCGAGGGCTGCTGGGGGGGCAGCATAGTGGGTGGTAGCCGCCGCAGATCCAAAGTAGACCTCGCCATCCCTGGGGGGCGTTGCGGAACGGTCGCCACTTTCGAGTGTTGCTGGGGGCGCCAGGCATAGTGGGTAGCCGCCGCAGATCCCAAGTAGACCTCGCCATCCCTGGGGGGGCTGCAGTTTGAGAAACTATCGCCACTTTCGAGGGCTGCTTGGGGGGTGGCCACTTTCGATGGCTGCTCGGGGGGTCAGCATAGTGGGTAGCCGCCGCAGACCCAAAGTAGACCTCGATATCCCTGAGGGGGGGGGCTGCGATTTGCGAGACTGTCGCCACTTTCGAGGGTTGCTGGGGGCGCCAGCTATAGTGGGTAGCCGCCGCAGACCCAAAGTAGACGTCGTCATCCCTGGGGGGCTGCCATTTGCGAAACTGTCGCCACTTTCGAACCTGTCACCACTTTCGAGGGCTGCTGGTGGGTCCAGCGGAGTAATGCACAGCGCAGATCTGAGCGAGACCTCGTCGTCCCTGGTGGGCTGCGATGTGCGAAGCCGTCGCCACTTTACAGGGCTGCTGGCGGGCCCAGCGGAGTGAGGCACCGGCAGACCTGAGGGGGACCTCGCCGTTCTTGGGGGGCTGCGATCTGCGAAACCGTCGCGATCTGCGAAACCGTCCCTGGGGGGCTGCGATCTGCAGCATTGTCGCCGCTTTCGAGGGCTGCTGGTGGGTCCAGCGGAGTGAGGCACCGCGCAGGCCTCAGCGGGACCTCGCCGTCCCCGGGGGGCCTGCGATCTGCGACATTGTCGCTGCTTTCGAGGGCTGCTGGTGGGTCCAGCGGAGTGAGGCACCGCGCAAGCCTCAGCGGGACCTCGCCGTCCCTGGGGGGCTGCGATCTGCGACATTGTCGCTACTTTCGGGGGCTGCTGGTGGGTCCAGCGGAGTGAGGCACTGCGCAGACCTAGGCGGGAGGGCTGCGATCTGCGACATTGTCGCCGCTTTCGAGGGCTGCTGGTGGGTCCAGTGGGGTGAGGCACCGCGCAGACCTGAGCGGGACCTCGCCGTCCCTGGGGGGCTGCTCTCTGCAACGCTGTCGCCGCTTTCGAGGGCTGCTGGTGGGTCAAGCGGAGTGAGGCACCGCGCATACCTGAGCGGGACCTCGCCGTCCCTGGGGGGCCTGCGATCTGCGACATTGTCGCCGCTTTCGAGGGCTGCTGGTGGGTCCAGCGGAGTGAGGCACCGCGCAAGCCTCAGCGGGACCTCGCCGTCCCTGGGGGGCTGCGATCTGCGACATTGTCGCTTCTTTCGGGGGCTGCTGGTGGGTCCAGCGGAGTGAGGCACCACGCAGATTTGAGCGGGACCTCGCAATCTCTGGGGGGCTGCGAGCCTCACGAATGCCGCTCGCAGAAGCATATGCGCCCATGTCACGTCACAACCTCCGTTCAACGTTTCCCCAGCTACTCATGCCCCGCATTGCGCAGGGGTTGGGTACGTCGCTAGGGTAATTTTTTATTGCGGGAAGTGGCCCATAAGCAACCGTCTGAGAATCTTCAATCGTCCCAAGGATCATTCTTGGGGCTTCAACGCCGTGGATCATCGTGACTGTTGCGTGCCTGCGTTCCTAAGTCGTGCCAGAACGCCGTTCCTGGGACTTCAACACCGCGAATCAGCGTGACCGTCGCGTCCTGGGTGGGGGAGGAGGAGGAGAAGAGGGAGGAGGCCTACGCAGATCTTTTCTCGTGAGAGCATCTTGGTGGGCTGTTGGCACTATCTTGGGATTTTCTCGGGGCCCTCTTGGGTCTTGGGGTCCCAATGCGATTCTGACTTTCACTGAATACCCATCTCCTCTTGCCGTCCTCTCCTGCTCCATACATCCCCCATCTCTCCATCTCTCCATCTTGCACCTCCCCGCAGGAGCTTGTTGGTGGGACTGCGCTGCTGTGGCCGTGAGTAGCTAGCAGGATACACGAAGAAGAAAGGGACGCATTTGCAGGGGTGAGGCAACCCGAGACAAGCCGGTTCACATATACTCAGTACGGGCCGCCTACAGCCAGCATGGCTGTTTTCAACTTAACAAACCACCTTCGGGTGATGAGATTGGAGTATCGGTGCAGCGCTCGGTTTGCAATTGTAGACGTTTTGCGTAACCCCACCAGGCCATTCAGAAACAATGCCCAGGTGAGTTGACCTGATCAGGGATATGGAGGACCATGCAGTGGAATCAAAGGGCCGGGGAAGCCGTCCTGACCCAACATGGGTAGGACAGAGGAGCAATCGGAGGAGGGGGAGAAGGGAGGATGGATGAGGAGGAACAGGCGAAAGAGGAAGAGCAGAATGGCCAGAGGCCTCTTGGTTGCCTCTCGGAGTCTCTTCGGATGTCTCTGGGGTGCTTCTTGGTGTCCTCTTGGGGCGTCTTGGGGATCTCTCATCGCGGTCCCTGGGACCTCTCGGAGCGTCTTGGGTGGCTCGGGTGAGCCCCTGGGGGCATCTTAGGGGTCTCGTGGGAGCCTGTTGGAGATCTCTTAGGGCCCTCCTCGGGGCCTTGGGGCCTCCGGGCACCTCTTGGGGCACTCTTGGGGCACTCTTGAAAGCGTTGGGAGCCATCTTGGGGCCGTCTTGGGGGAGCCCGATTGAAGAAGGGGGGGTACCATATTAGCGCCCTCCCCCCCAGGAGGCTCAAATGGACCCAAATTAACGCAGATTCAATTTTTTTTTGGCCGTCTCGCCGAGGCGTCCTTGGACGCTCTAATCGGTCGCGAGGCGCCCCGTCCAGGTCCAGGGGAGGGGGTCGGGGGAGGGGTCAAGACACCCGTGCCCCGCCCGCAGGCCATCCCGCTCACTCCCAGCCCACCCTCCCAGCACATACGTAGCACCCGAGCCGCAGCATGTTCAGCGGTCGTCTTTGGATCAGGAGGAGGAAGCGGATGAGGAGGAGGAGGAGGAGGAGGAGGAGGAGGAGGAGGAGGAGGAGAATGCAGCTGCTGGGAACCAAAACAGACCCCACGTGCGCGACGCTGGGGCGAGGTGCGCCGCGCGCGCCAGGCGTGCCGCGTTCGCGGGGTGCTCCAGGCTCCTCTGGGGCCCACGCGGGCCAGGCAAGCCTGGTGAGCCACATGCGCCACGCGCTTCACGCGCGCCATTGTTAAAACCCGCGTTCCTCACTAATTTTGCCGACAGACCGCTTCACCTCCCCCCCCTTTCCCATTCCTTCTTCTTCACCCTTAGTCTCCTCACTCTGGATCCCAGCGGCACACATGGCGCGGCGCCATGTGTGCCGCATGCTCCAGCCGCGCCAGGTGCGCCACGTTCGGGGCACGCACAGGTGTGCCAGGTCCGCCCGCGCACGCGACAGTACACATCGGGGAACGTGGCGGCCCCCACCGTCCTCGTCGAAAACCAGTCCGCAATCGCGGCGGGGTGGCTATGATGGTGTCTGATGGGCCTGCGCACAGCAGGCGGTATGCCAGCACCCCCGCTGTCCTGTTCAAAAACCGCTGCAAAGTGATCGCGGGGTGCCCGCGCATGATCCAGATATTGCCGCGAGGTGCACTTTGTATGTTTTTTTTTGAAAGAGATGGTGACCCTGCGCACACCAGGCAATAGGCGCCCACCCCACCGTTCTTGTCAAAAAAACAAGTCAAAGTGCTCCCAAGATTATGCCTCAACGTGACATTACATTGTTTCTGATAGGGATGCTGGGAGGGTGGCACTGGTCCTGGGCTGCTGGTCGGCTTGGGGAGGGAGTGTTCGCAACAGGGAACAGCGATTGCACCTCTCCCCGAAGCGGAAGGAGGGGTTTGAAGAGGACACGCTCTGAACCACCTACGCCCACTTACGCCCTAAATGGCTGGCGGCATTTGCATCACGTCAGGCATTTGTTTTTGTTCACCCAATTGCTCGAGTCCCTCTCGCTCTAAATCTTCTAACTCTTCCGACCCTCAGCATATCCTGACTCTTTCTCACTTCTTCTAGTTCTTCCAACCCTGTCTTCTGCCTTCTGTCGCCCTCCAGGTGGCTTGCGCAGTTCCGCCGGCCCCCAGGAAGGAGTCAGAGCCTGCGACGATCGCGGAAGTTGTCGAAGACGCCTACGGCAAACCACCGCCGCCCCCAGTCTTTTTGCAAATGCCTACTCCAGATTTCGTAATCAAAGGGAGGGGGTCTGGACCCTCCAAGACAAGCCATTTCAGACCTCCCCCGTGGGAGAACCCTCCAAAACATCGTCCCCAGACCCCCCAGGCCCTCCAAGATAGCCTGGAAGAGACCCCCCTCCCGAAATGAGACCCCCCTCTCTTTATTACGAAATCTGGAGTATGTGGTCGAACGTTGCGGCCATGGCGCTGCCAAGCTATCGGACTATCTGCTCCCCCAGCCGTTGTGGAACCCCTTCGGGGAACACGTGGGGGAGACAGAATAACCATAGCAATAAGCAGGAAGAATACTACTATCAATACTGGTAGTCGTGCTATCAATTAAGACAACGCGTAATCATACTACCGAGAAGACGAAGAGGAGAGGCAGGACATGAGGAGGAGTAGGCCTCGGGGGGGGCCCAGCATGCCCAGCCTGGCGCGTGCGCGCGGGGCACGTGGTTTCACGTGACCACGGGCCCCCCCCCCCGGGGGACCCATTTCAGGGGTGGCGAGCTTGCCAGCGAGGCACCCGACTTGCAGGTGGCGAGTCCGTTGCCAACAACTGCGTGCGCGGATAGGGGGGGCCAACGTGCGCTTGGCCGCGTGCGCGAGAAGCGCTCGTTGCTGGCCACGACCGGGCCGCGAGCGTGTCACCCATTTCTTGGAGCTGGCGCATTTTGTTTGCACGTGCAGCTGTGTGCGCGGAGGGGTGGGCGGGGTGGGGGGCAGCATGCCAACAGGCACCCGGCGCGCGCGCGCGGGGCGCGTGCTTTCACGCGTCCACGTGGCTCCAGGGGGACCCATGCAATTTGGGGGCGGCGGATTCTTTGCATGTGCAATTGCGTGCGCGGAGGGGCGGGGGGGGAACGGGTGGGTGCCCAGCATGCGCCTGGCGTGTGCGCGCGGAGCAGGTGTTCTCTCGCGTTTCTGCCCACGACGGGGCAGCACGCGAGGCACCCGACTTGCACGTGGCGAATTCGTTTCACGTAAAACTACGTGCGCGGATGGGGGGGGGCAACATGCCCCTGGCGCGTGCGCGCGGGGCAAGTGCTTTCTCGTGTCCACGGGGCCCACGCGGGGAGCAGGAGCAGGAGGAGCAGGAGCAACAGGAGGAGCAGGAGGAGCAGGAGGAGCGAGAAGAGCAGGAGGAAGAGGAGGAGGAGGAGGAGGAGGAGGAGGAAGAGGAGGAGGATACGCAGGACGTGCAGGCGGTAGCGGCTGCAGACAAGCACACGGACGGTGTCGCACGCGCGTCGGAAGAAAGTTTGACTACAGTTCCATACTGTTCTTCTTGGCGATCTCTTCAAATTATTCTAGTTCTTATGAGCAAACGAACTGGTAGACCTCTCCTACCTCGTCTTAACAGTTCCAACGATTCTGGACGAATCGCGTATCCCCACCAGCCCACCCAGAACAAAAACCCATGAGAGTTGTTTGGATGATGAGTCTGGAAGAGGGGAGTTTGAAGAGAAAGAGAACAAGGATAAGGAGGAGGATGAGGAAGAGGAGGAGGAGGAGGGGGAGGATGAGGAGGAGGCGGATGATGAGGAGGAGGAGGATGAGGACGAGGACGAATCTGCGTCGGAATCGGATCACTCGCGAAGTGATAAGATGATGGTGATGAGGAGGATGAAGACGAGTAGGAGGAGGTGGAGGCGGAGGAGGAGGAGGAGGAGGAGGAGAAGGGGTGGGGAAAGGGAGGAGGAGGTAGGAGGAGGAGAAGTGGAGGATGATGAGGAAGAAAAGGAGGAGGAAGATGAAGAGGAGGCGAGGCGGCGGAGAAGGAGGAGGCGGAGGAGGAGGGAGGAGCAGGGGAGGAAGAGAGGAGGAAAGAGGAGGAGGAGGAGGATGAGGGGGACGTGGAAGAGGAGGAGCAGCAGCAGCCGCAGCAGCAGCAGCAGGAGGAGTAGTAGTAGTAGTAGTAGTCGTCGTCGTCGTCGTCGTCGTCGTCGTCGTCGTCGTCGTAGTAGTAGTAGTAGTAGTAGTAGTAGTAGTAGTAGTAGTAGTAGTAAACGTAGTAGTAGTAGCAGTAGTAGTAGTAGCAATAGTAGTA